ATCCATCCATCCATCCATCCATCCATCCATCCATCCATCCATCCATCCATCCATCCATCCATCCATCCATCCATCCATCCATCCGACAGCATAATAGCCCTGGATTTGATTCCCAACATTTTGCATGTTTACTCCATGGATTTGTGGGGTCTCTCAGCATACTTTCTGCCAAAGTCTAAAAACATAACCTGAACCCTCAGCCATATGGGCCGACACAAACATGAATGAAGCTGGGTCAATTTGGCACAATAGTCTTCCAGAAAAAAAAAAAAGTTTCACAAATGAGACAAACCACAAAAGCTCTCCAGTAAAAACCCCAAAACATATGTGGATGTGGACGTTTGCATGTGTCGCACACAGTACATGCCACAAAATAGTGGGCTCTAGCTATACTGTCTGTCATGCAAGGGCGGTTCAGGGTCATCAGGAGGTCACCTGTCCAAAATGAACTGAGACTAGCAAGCATCCTGCTTCCTTATCCTAGCTGCTTCCTGACTGCCAGCACTATTAGAACAGCTTTTATTTCGGAGACCTCTGACACACTTCTGCCTTGGCTTGAGTGTCATTACCAAGCTACTAAGATTAAGCAAGGGTCTTGAGTGTTGGTAGTAAGGAAAGAGCAAGGACTAGAAAGCAATATCCATTCTATTGCCAATTGCATAACAAACTCATGAAGTCCTGAGCTTTTGCCAAGGAATATTGGGTATTTTTTTGGTGACAAGGCGTATAGGCACAGCCCACCTTATGGAATTAAAACAAAATTATTTATTTCCCGTACTCTGTGTGACACATGCTCATGTACACTGTTGGGATCCGGAGGCTTTCCCACCAGAGGGCACCAAGGATCCCTTCCTGGGGATTTGTTTTTCTGTTGGTTTCTGGGTTCTGTCTGCCTTTCTCCTCCAGAGGGCGTTCTGGGTCTCCTGAAGTTGGAACTGACTTCACCAGCTGTTTCTCATCTGCTCATCAGGAGACCAGGATATAAGCAGTGGCAGGACTACACTCCAGCGCCAGAGTGTTAAGCCAGTTATGGTTAGCAAGCCTGAGCCAACCAGCCTGTCTGATTCTCTGACCCCCCTGAAAACCTGAACTTGAATCTAATCAGTTTTTGTCTTCTCTGCTTCTTAGGAAGAAACCTGACTGAACCCCGGGACTCTGGAAGAGTTTCTCTGCTGAAACCTGCCTGCCAGCTCTCAGGAGCTCATCTGAAGGATCTAACTGTCTGAACCTGCCTGCCCGCTCTCAAGAAGAGGATCGGAAGAAACTCTGGACCTGAACACTGATAAGTCTGAAGTCGAGCCCTGCCGTTGCTAAGCCCTCTGCCAACTACTAGCCTCTGGACCCTCCTGGTTCCCTCCCTCTGCTGCAAGCCTGAAACACGACACAGGTACAGACCTGCTCAATCCCTCTGACAAGATCAACCGCATTCTGGCTAACCAAACTGTCCCTCTCTACAGAGAACCCTGTGTGACCAGTCCCGGATCTGTTTCCCAGCATCTGCACATTAATAATGTCTTTGTTTTAATAAACAGTCAAACTTTTCATCTAACTCCGTGTGTGTTCTGCATATGGGTTAGGAACCTAATTCCTATGTTTCAGGTTTTTTAATTAATAGCTTCAGCTGTTCACTTTATTTATGTAAATGTAGTTTTTTGTAGTTCTTTATCAGGAGGCTGTAGTCCAATTTTATGTCAGGTAATCCTGTCCGCCTGGGATCCTCACAGCAGTCCAGTTTTCCTTTCCAGCCCTGGATAAAGTTGTAATTGTTGACTCCATTTAAGTTGAAGGATAGGAGTTAGAAACAGGAGGTAGGTATTTGGAAGAAGGGAAGTTGTTGCCCAGGAAGGAACTGTAAATCTGTCCAAATCTGTCCTTGCCTTTAGCCACTAAACTAAGGGAGATTGCCACCAGCCCCCTGTGACCCTTATGGATAGCTCTAGAGCACAGAGTTCCCCTTCATTTTCACAATGACTTCTCTGATTGTTGTATTGGGAATTTATCCTTTTAACTGTTTAATACTTAATGCATGTTGCAGTTATTTTTTATGAAACACTTTGGGAGATATAGTTCCTCACTTGAAAGAAGAAAAAAAAGCTAGATGACCAAATCTTAGACACTTGGACTTCGTTTTGCCCAGCTCTCATGACATTTCCATTTTCTTAAAGTGTAGCAGTGATCAAATGTAAACATTATGGGAGAAAAAACATGGGGAATGAATCTGAATGAGAAACAAAGTGTTATTCTGGGACAAGTGGACTTTGTCAACTCTGTAGTACTCCATTCTTTCACTTGCAGTACAAAGAATACTTCAGCTAACTGCTTGCCTTATGGAGAGAGACATATGCTAAGCTAAAAGGTTTCCTTTCATACCTTCTGCCAGATCCTCCAGAGCCCTCCTCACCCCACGGTCAAATGCTCGGGCATCAGACGAGCACTGAAAGGTTAGGCCACACTTTTTGTTGTCTACCTTCCAGTGATGGAACGTGGGAGTGGCTTTTGTGTAGACCAGGTCTTTTTTCAAGAAACACTCAAGAATCACCTAAAAAAAGTAATGAAAAGATGGAACAAAATGGAAAAACCCTGGAAAAAGTGATATTTACATTCACAAAACAACACGTGACTTTTTTTGTTTTTCACCAATAGTAATTAAATTCAGACTGAACTCTTCCTCTTTTTCCGTAGACCAGGAGCATGGCAGTAACTCTAACCGTTTCTAAATTCGTTTGGAG